GAATTGTACCGACTCAATTAGGTGAGCACTTACCCTGAAACAGGATTTAACTGTGGTTGACTGATCAGAAAAATTTCAGGTTTTAAGTTTTGGGCTTTATTTGCTTTGGATGAGGCATTTATGTCTGTTCTATCCATTCTCATGCCAGAAGTGAGTTGAGGAAAACCATTCAAGGAATAATTAGGGAGGAATTTATAAGTCCTATGTGTTTATCCTATAATTGTCTCCCAGGAGGCGAGAGCCATGGGAATCTGACATGAGAACAGTGGGAAACACCAGCATTCGAATTTTCCTAGTTGGCATAGCCAATGCGTCATTTCCGTGCTAAACCAGAAGCCCAGTTATACCAGATTCCAGTCTGGGCCAAACACAGGTGACAGAGCTGTGGGCTTAGGGAGTAGATGAGAAAACGGAGTTCGGTGTGAGGAAGGGACCCTGGTCTGAGAACCACCACACTGAAATGTGGGAATTGGCTGTAAGACTCTTGCTACGTCACAAGGTTTGGTGTGAAGGCTGTAATCGAGGGACCCTCTTTTTCGTTTATCTTCCCCAATATTCTCAAAAACCAGAGGAGCAGAGTAATACACTTCTCCCCCTGGCCCTTTACATGGGAGTTTTGTTCTCTCTGCACTTTAGAATTCACACATTGCACCCTCATTCTGGGAGCAGGGGAGCGTATTTCCCCTTTCCGCTCCAATCTCATCTCTTTACAGGGCCAGTGTGTTTCTTACCGGCCCTATTGTCTTCTCGGTCCTACCTTCATAAGATGTAGGTCTGAAGAGCTCCACTCTCTGCCTTGCTTCACGTTCTTAATAAATAATCTTTCCTCAGGTGGGCCCTGTAGTCTAGTGGTTATGGGAGCCAGATCCCACGTGGGTGACTGTGATTTGAATCCTGGCCCTGGTGGCTTGAAAACATGCCAAAATTGATACAGGATGCAGAAATGGAAGACAAGGGATTGTGGTATAACCATGCCCCATTGCATCCCAAAATTCTGAGAATAGAGAAGGGATTGTGTTGTGGCCATCCCCTCTGGGAGGTGATTTCTGACTCTCTCTCTTTGTGTTTCTCTAGCAAGCACATGTGCTCTATGTCAAAAATATCTCCCTCTCCCCCACCCCACCCCACCCCCCCAAAATTAAATGATTTGCCCAGTACCCTTCCAAGAGTGACCACCTGGTTCTAGCAGCCTGCTTAAGCACAGTTTAACACTGTACTCTCCCTAGTGTGGGTTTTGTATTTTTTTTTTATCATTTTAAACATTTTAACAGTAGATGCTGTCTGTGCCACAGGTATGTCTTTAGTTTATGATTATAATACAAAGTTTTCAGGTATTTATGAATGAGAGAATTTTTCATTTATACTTAAAATAGTATTTAAGTGGCTGTCCCCTGGGGAGGTGATTTCTTGCTTTCTGTGTCTCTGCCTGTCTGTCTGTCTCTCTGGTGAGCGCACATGCCCTATAGCAAAGTTTGTAACTTTTTCTTATCAAATCAATCAGCTCATGACAAATTACCTTTCTGATTTCTTTTTTATTTATCACTTTTATTATTTTTTAATTTATCTTTAGTCTCTATACATCTTTACAGTATACAATATGGTTTTTCCCAGAATGAATACAGTACATATTAGTCAAGTCAAAGATATTATCGTACGTGTTGTCATCGGTAGATAACTTTGCACTTTGTGTCTATTAAATGTGTTGGTTTTTCCCTGATCCCCTCCCTCTCTCTTTGATTTCTGACTTATTTTTTCTTTATTTTATTCAGTGGTTTCTGAAAAGAGCTCTTTATAATTTAGAACCAAATAAAATGCATGTTACTATAATACAGAAATAAATGCTAGGGTATTTCTTGTAAATTATTGTTTTAATGAAATTGTGTAGTGCCTTTTCTCTTACTAAATTAACTCATAATCATAATAGAGTGAATAAGTTCCAACCCAACTTCGAGAGTTTTTTAAATTTTTATTTTTTGTTATTTTCTCTGTTCTCCTCAAACATGTAAATTTTGTGTATTTGCAGCTGGTTTTAGAAGAAGTTTCCGTCTTAGTAGGAAAGATAAGAAAACAAATAAATCTATGTACGAATGCAAGAAGAGCGATCAGTACGATACAGCGGACGTGCCCTTCTCCTCTATTCTCATCTCGGGATCTTGGGTACGCACGCACACGCGCCCGGCGTGAGTTTTAAGCCACCGGGTCCGGGACGTGAACCACGGTCGACTACGTGGGAGTCCAGCAACATAGCCATTACGCTAACTGCTGGTTCCCACTGCTGCCTTTTAAAATCTTTTTTTTTTTAAAGAGGTTCTTGCCTTAGGGTGCATGTGCTCACCAGGGAGAGAAAGAGAGCAACCAAGAGACAGTGAGAGAGAAAGTGAGAAATCACCCCGTAGGGGGGATAGTCACACTACAATCCCTTCTTATCCATTCTCCTCCCAGGATCTTGGGCATGCACACACATGTGCTCCATGTGAGTTTTAAGCCACTGGGTCCAAGATTCAGACTGGGGTCAGCCATGTAGGAGTGCAGTGATGTAATCACTACGCCATCTGCTCGCTCTTAACTCACTTTAATGCAGTAGACTTGTATCACATACCTGTTTTGTACCAAGCCCTGTACAACTAATATCACCAAACCATGCTGTGGAACATGGTCTTGCCTTTTTTTTTTTTTCCCTTTTCTTTTTTTTAAGTCAATTTATTTACTTCTTCCATGAGAGAGAGAGAAATAGGCACCTCCTATAGGATCTTCACACCACAATCCATCCCTAGTCTCAGCCAGCCTGGATCTGGGGCACAGAGGGAGACCCCAGGGTATAAACCCAGCCTTCCCACATGGGGCTAGCTCCACACCACTGTCAGCCCCACGGTCCCCATCTTGGCTGTCCGTTCACACTCACTTGGAGGCCTGAGTACCTTCTTCCCCTTCTCTCCTGTCTCTCTCTCCACTGTTGACAGAGAAAGTGAGCTTCAGCGAATTGTACCGACTCAATTAGGTGAGCACTTACCCTGAAACAGGATTTAACTGTGGTTGACTGATCAGAAAAATTTCAGGTTTTAAGTTTTGGGCTTTATTTGCTTTGGATGAGGCATTTATGTCTGTTCTATCCATTCTCATGCCAGAAGTGAGTTGAGGAAAACCATTCAAGGAATAATTAGGGAGGAATTTATAAGTCCTATGTGTTTATCCTATAATTGTCTCCCAGGAGGCGAGAGCCATGGGAATCTGACATGAGAACAGTGGGAAACACCAGCATTCGAATTTTCCTAGTTGGCATAGCCAATGCGTCATTTCCGTGCTAAACCAGAAGCCCAGTTATACCAGATTCCAGTCTGGGCCAAACACAGGTGACAGAGCTGTGGGCTTAGGGAGTAGATGAGAAAACGGAGTTCGGTGTGAGGAAGGGACCCTGGTCTGAGAACCACCACACTGAAATGTGGGAATTGGCTGTAAGACTCTTGCTACGTCACAAGGTTTGGTGTGAAGGCTGTAATCGAGGGACCCTCTTTTTCGTTTATCTTCCCCAATATTCTCAAAAACCAGAGGAGCAGAGTAATACACTTCTCCCCCTGGCCCTTTACATGGGAGTTTTGTTCTCTCTGCACTTTAGAATTCACACATTGCACCCTCATTCTGGGAGCAGGGGAGCGTATTTCCCCTTTCCGCTCCAATCTCATCTCTTTACAGGGCCAGTGTGTTTCTTACCGGCCCTATTGTCTTCTCGGTCCTACCTTCATAAGATGTAGGTCTGAAGAGCTCCACTCTCTGCCTTGCTTCACGTTCTTAATAAATAATCTTTCCTCAGGTGGGCCCTGTAGTCTAGTGGTTATGGGAGCCAGATCCCACGTGGGTGACTGTGATTTGAATCCTGGCCCTGGTGGCTTGAAAACATGCCAAAATTGATACAGGATGCAGAAATGGAAGACAAGGGATTGTGGTATAACCATGCCCCATTGCATCCCAAAATTCTGAGAATAGAGAAGGGATTGTGTTGTGGCCATCCCCTCTGGGAGGTGATTTCTGACTCTCTCTCTTTGTGTTTCTCTAGCAAGCACATGTGCTCTATGTCAAAAATATCTCCCTCTCCCCCACCCCACCCCACCCCCCCAAAATTAAATAATTTGCCCAGTACCCTTCCAAGAGTGACCACCTGGTTCTAGCAGCCTGCTTAAGCACAGTTTAACACTGTACTCTCCCTAGTGTGGGTTTTGTATTTTTTTTTTATCATTTTAAACATTTTAACAGTAGATGCTGTCTGTGCCACAGGTATGTCTTTAGTTTATGATTATAATACAAAGTTTTCAGGTATTTATGAATGAGAGAATTTTTCATTTATACTTAAAATAGTATTTAAGTGGCTGTCCCCTGGGGAGGTGATTTCTTGCTTTCTGTGTCTCTGCCTGTCTGTCTGTCTCTCTGGTGAGCGCACATGCCCTATAGCAAAGTTTGTAACTTTTTCTTATCAAATCAATCAGCTCATGACAAATTACCTTTCTGATTTCTTTTTTATTTATCACTTTTATTATTTTTTAATTTATCTTTAGTCTCTATACATCTTTACAGTATACAATATGGTTTTTCCCAGAATGAATACAGTACATATTAGTCAAGTCAAAGATATTATCGTACGTGTTGTCATCGGTAGATAACTTTGCACTTTGTGTCTATTAAATGTGTTGGTTTTTCCCTGATCCCCTCCCTCTCTCTTTGATTTCTGACTTATTTTTTCTTTATTTTATTCAGTGGTTTCTGAAAAGAGCTCTTTATAATTTAGAACCAAATAAAATGCATGTTACTATAATACAGAAATAAATGCTAGGGTATTTCTTGTAAATTATTGTTTTAATGAAATTGTGTAGTGCCTTTTCTCTTACTAAATTAACTCATAATCATAATAGAGTGAATAAGTTCCAACCCAACTTCGAGAGTTTTTTAAATTTTTATTTTTTGTTATTTTCTCTGTTCTCCTCAAACATGTAAATTTTGTGTATTTGCAGCTGGTTTTAGAAGAAGTTTCCGTCTTAGTAGGAAAGATAAGAAAACAAATAAATCTATGTACGAATGCAAGAAGAGCGATCAGTACGATACAGCGGACGTGCCCACCTACGAAGAAGTGACCCCGTATCGGCGACAGACGAACGAGAAGTACAGACTTGTGGTCTTAGTCGGTAAGTGTCTGCGTGTGCAACCTCGAGGAGGCAAGTGAAGTAGGAGGAATTTAACCTCAGAGCTCGTCCGCAGTGGCGCATTGCCAGAGGTGACGTGGGAAGCTCTGGGTCTGCGTCCCTGGTCTGCTTGAACACTCTGGGTGTCCTGTGGTTCCCCCTGGAGAGGGTACTTGTCTTCCTCTCTCTAAGGAAGTAAGCAAAGAAAAAGACTTGAACTTCAAAGTGCATCATACTGGAAATTTCCAAACTCAAAGTCCACTCTTCTTCCACACTTTTTGTCTGGTCTCCAAAATGAAATCTTTATAGCCTTTTATATATCTATGACATGTAGAGAGTTTTTGTTTTTGTTTTAATTATTTTATTGAACTTTATTTATTTTTATTTGACCAGAAAGGGGTCCGGGGGAGAGAGAGAGAGAAAGCAAGCTTCCAGGTTCAGGACTCAAATCGTGGTCAGCCATGTGCAAGTCCAGCACTCTTCACCACCTGCCGGCCCTGACATTTGGAGAGTTTTAAGATATCAGTGGATAGTTCCAGCATTTTAGTGGAACCACTGCAGGAGAAGGGTAAAAAAAGCACCCCAGTATATTAAGCGTATCAGGGAACCTAATGATAAAAATGAATATTCCTGAATATAACACAAGTTTCCTTCGACTCATTTTTGAGGCAGCAGCTGTGGTATATGCTTCCTGTGGCGTTTAGATCCTTAAAAGAAACTGTGATAACAGAATGAGAGGGTATTTCAAGCTGCATAGCTAGTTAATCAAACTGCCTTAAAGTAGGGAATAAGTATATGTGCGTGTTTCCACACACTTTGGTTGGCCTGACTCACATCTGCATGCTCGCATCTGTCTGTACAGCCTTCACAGACGTGAGCTGTCATGAGCTCCACTCCTCCACTTCACCCTTGTTGGGTTACTTTAAAAATGCTGCAAGAGGGACCAGCAGATGATGTAGTGGTTATGTCGCTGGACTTCACATGGCCCGGTCCAGGACCTGGAGGCTTGACACTCAGGTCAGACACGTGTGCTTGTGTGCTCAAAATCCTAAAGAGAATGGAGGAGAAGGGACTGTGGTGTGTCGTCGGGGGGGGGGGGGGGGATTTCTCTCTCTCTTTCTCTCTGTCTCTCTGGCAAGTGCTAACACCTGATAGCAAAAATCTTTTTTTTTAAGAGTGTAATTTGCATACTCTTCTTTTTATAAGAATTGTTTTATTTAACTTTATTTATTATTATTATCATTATTATTTTCCAGTTTGATCAGAGAAAGACAGAGAGAGAGAGAGGAAGTGAGAAAGCAAGCCACCAGGTCCGAGACTTGAACCATGGTCGGCCATGTGGGAGTCCAGTGCCCCTATCCACCACGCCACCTGCCGGCCCCAGCAAAAATCTCTCTTAAAAAAAAATCCTTGAGAATTATTTACGCTTCCAGGATCAAAGCCAGCAATTTGGGGTACATTTTGGAATATTGGAGCATGGTGTCTCTTGTTGATTATTCCTTTATGGATTCAAGATGGCAGTTATGGGATGAAAATAAATGGAAAAACTAAAGAATCAGTCACCCACCTTCCTAAGTCGGGGTTCTTTGAGTGATTTCAGCACAAGCTGAATTCACACAGATGATGGGTGACTCCCAGGGGACGATGCCTCACACCAGTGGACACATCGTTTCTGTCATGTAGAAATACATATTTACGTAGCGCAAAAGAAATCACACTCCCCTTTATTAGCAACGTTCACACCTCCTATCCGTGTTACCAAACTCCCCAAACCATAGCTGAAGAATATTTCCCTAAGGTCTTAATTTTACTCCAGCACTTGACACACCCCAGCTTCCAGCCGGGAGTCACACTAACGAGAACACTTCCCAGCATCCTGCACCCCCGAACCCCGTGCTCACCGGTAACCCAGTGTTCCACACGGTCCCTCCTTCTGCCAGCACCCGGCTCGCAGCGTCTCCCCCTCCCCGTCGCCTCTTCTCAGCAGAAAAAAGAGCTGTGCTTTGGGCCCAGGGCAGAGAGTAGGTCTCTCGTTTCCCATCACATCCAGGTGGCCCTCTGTAGAGCCAGGGGATTATGATTACAGATCTGTCTTCTGAGCTTTCCCCAGGGATCTAACTGAAAGAGGAAACTAGGATAACCTTGTCTTTCTCCTCCTCCTGGAGGTGCTAGCCTCTAAATCCTCCTGTCAGGCCTGAGGAAGGGAAGAGAGATGAGGATAACTTAGGAGTCTGAGGAGTAACTCCGGGAAGAATAAAAGTAACTCCCTAGCCAGATGCAGCTAGAGATGCCTGATGGTTATGGAGCAGAATCGGGTGAGCCCTAGAATCTTCCGAAGAGGACGAGAGGCTGGCCTCGTGCTTGTTAGAAGTCGCCATGGGGTCCTGTTACGCAGTATTGGCTTGTGCAGGTGTTCATCGGCTCTCTCTTGGGGAAGGTGTGAAACAGAAGGAGGAGGATGCCAAAGGAAAATAAACCATGATTGGTCTGTTCTAGGGGCAGGACTCCTGGGCAGGTCTCTACTAATTCAGGATAGAGCTCCATCTTAACGGTTACGAAGCCCAGAGCTGGTATCCATCCATCCATGCTTTCTCACGCCTCAGGGTGCTGAACTCCCACACAGATATGTGAGATCCTTGATAGCATCTCACAGGTCCCAGAGGTTCTGATCAGTTTTTCTAGTTTTTTGTTGTGGTTTTTTTTTTTTCCCCCTATATCTCAAATTTGATCATTTCTGTTGGTCTCTTTCCAAGATCCCTGGTTTTTCCTTTATCATTTTGCTATTTAGTCCACCGAGTGAATTTTGTCTTTTTGATATTGTACTTGTGAAATGACCGATTTGTTCATTTCTTCTTTCTTTTTTTTTTTTTGCTTTTGAGAGATTTTTGCTATAGGGCGTGTGCGCTCGCCAGACAGACAGAGACATAGAGACAGAATGCGAGAAATCACCCCCCAGGGGGGATGGTCACACCGCAATCCCTTCTCCTCCATTCTCCCCTCGGGATCTTGGGCACGCACGCACATGCACCTGGCATGAGTTCTAAGCCACCGGGTCCGGGACGCGAACCGCAGTCGACTACGTGGGAGTTCAGCGACATAGCCATTACGCCATTCCCTTGTTCGTTTCTTTGTATTTGCTGAGGACTTTATTTTTCCATCAGTTTCAAGTGTGTTTACCATGACCTGACGGACCTCAGTTAACATGACTGAACGTCTGTGCTCTAGGAGATGGGAAGGCATAAACACGTGGACAGCAACCAGACTCCAGAGGCAATTTGGGAAGTTCTCAGGGTGGGAAATGGTTGTGGGAAGGGAATGGGGCGAAAATAGGGGTAGTAATTCATTAATTAAGAAGAAGAAGAAGAAGAAGAAAGATGCTGGGCCAGCCCTGTAGAGAAACGGAGGGCAAAGGATCGCGTCACGGCCGTGCCCCATTCGCTTGTGCGCTCTCCGGTGAGCACCTTTGCCCTCTAGCAAAGATGAAAATAAAAAATTCCTTTGTTGTTTTGGATCATTTAAACATCAGAGTCATTTTGGGGTTGGTGGCATCTGTCAAATGTGTTTTTTCTTGAGAATCGGTCACTTTTGTCTCGTTTTCTCATGTTGCGTCATTTCCTTCTGTGTCCTGGGCATTATGGACATTATGCTGTGTAGGTGTTGGTCTTATATTTCTCTGGAAAATCAGTCTGGGTGGGTTCAGGGTGCATGCCTCAGCTCTGTTTTCATTCTCTGCTATTCCGTGCATGTGACGCTTGAGTTGCTCAGAGACTTAAGACTTAGTTCATTTCTCAAAACCTTTGGTCTGCAGCTCTCAGGTTCTCGCACTCCTGCACAGCCGAGGGCCCCAAACTTTCACAAAGTCTCAGCTATGCCAGCCATGACCCCACTGTGCAACTCTGATGTGGGACTCGTCCTCTGGGTAAAGCCCACGATGGTAGGGCAACTTCATCTCCATGAGGTCCCTTCTCAGATTGCACTCCCTGCCACACCCTGCCTGCTTCTCAGAACCCTCGGTTGTTCCTTTTCTGCAGATGTTTTTTGTTTTTTTTTTTTTAGTAGAGATTTTTGTTATGGGGCACATGTACTCACCGGAGAGACAGAGAGAAAAGTAAGAAATCACCTCCCAGGAGGATGGCCATACCACTATCGTTTCTCCATTCTCCTCTTGGGATTTTGGATGCGCGCGCGCACACGCCCAGTTTGCTTCAAGCTACCAGGTCCGGAACTTGAACCACTGCCAGCCATGTGGGAGTCCAGTGCCTTAACTACTATGCCACCTGCTGGCCCCACCATCAGAGATTTTATTCTGTCCAGTGGGGCAAGAGGCCCCGGTGGGGCAAGAGGCCCCAGTGGGCTTTCTTCACCATCGTGGAGCTGAACTCCCCAGCAGAAAGCTCCCCTCACAGATGGACTCTAGCTTCTCTTCAATGCTGCACCTTGACCAGCCTCCTCAGAACTGGGTAAGAGAACCTCAGCCCTTATATCTCCTGAGCTGAGTTTCTGAGGGTCATTAGGATAGCACAGAGGGGTCATTAGGACAGAAGAATGCCGCGGAGTGATCCCAGCCACCTTCTGAGCTAAAACAGTGCTTCCAAAGATACGCATCATAGCAGTTCATTGTCAGCCAAACCCTGTTCTACGTGATTGTTAGACTTGGAATCAATGAACAAAGCACGTGTGGCCGGTCTTCAGTAAATAGGGCAGTGTAACTGTGCACTTCAGTCACCTCATTTCCACTTTGCCCTTTGAACTTTACACTCCTGGAACCTAAATTCTGAACTAAATATAGACTCTGCCAGGTGGCTTGCTTTATTTTATTTTATTTTATTTTATTTTATTTTATTTTATTTTATTTTATTTTATTTTATTTTATTTTATTTTATTTTATTTTATTTTATTTTATTTTATTTTATTTTATTTTATTTTATTTTATTTTATTTTATTTTATTTTATTT